CCCCAAAACCCCAAAACCCCAAAACCCCAAAACCCCAAAACCCCTTTTCAATTTGTTCTGGTTGAATCTGACTTATTTAGTAACTAAAGTGCGATTTATGATACAGGACCAACTTATGTGGGATTTAAAGAGTTGGGTTTTAAACTATTTCAGTTTTTGTGTCTGCTAGCTGATATGGTATAGCCACAAGTTCGGGCTGGATCTGCTCATCATGGATATGCTCTACTTTTGCATTTAACATCTGATTCTTCTCGGAGAAGAAAATGGAGAGGAATAAGGTTCCATTTAAGCAAGCATTTGAAAGTGTAAAGAAGAAGAAAACCGAGACATGAATGAGAGACATCGATTTTCCGTATGTTATAAGTATCAAGAGAATGTTTGCCACTACAAAAAAAATTGATATTTTCCCCCAGGTAGCAAATTTTGATCTCCAATATGGATCAGCTCTGATTCTTGCCGACAAATGAAACATCAAACTTGGGACTAAAAGGGCCAAATGAACCGGAACGACATAAGTAAGCATTATGAAATCGCTTCTTGATCACCAAATAAAGTCCAGCTCTTGATATATCATCCCAATGTTTGCAATTTTGAACATCAAGGATAACCACCAATTTAGTATTTTCTGAAACTTTTCTGTCTGAATTACCTGAAAACAATGGGTCATTATATTTAAAGATTATAATTAATAACCTCTTCAATTCAAATTGCCTCAAACCAACCTTAAATAAATTTCTACTACTTCTATTAGTAAATTTAAGCAAACTTGCTAGAATTTTCCTTTGCTAAAAGGAATGTTTAAACTATAATGTTTAATTTTTACAAATAGGATTTGAAGTTTGAGAATATTAGCAAAATTTTAACTAGGATTGATATTAAAAAACTGATGATAAGTGAACAAGATACTTGATAAAACCTTTATTTTTATACAAAGAACTTAGGCTCTTCCAATTTATTATCTCTGATGCCTCAACTTAGACTTCACCAGAATTGTCAATGCTTTAAAATTTTCTAAATACACTCTAAAATAGGTGCTGATCTTCTTCAAATTTAAGTGTTGTTGAATTAAATGCTTAAAAATCACATGGAGATGTGTAACATGTACAACTTGGCAGCCTCATGAGGTCCTTGAAGAGGTGTCCTTTAGGCAATTTTATGTTTCAAGCTGCCATATTGGGATTGTATAGCCCAAGTTCGGGCTGGAGCTACTCCATTTGGCTTTCTTGAGGTCTGAGAAGAGCTTTATGGGCAGCTTTTTGAGTAGGAAGGCAAAGAGCAAGATGCCAGTTAGGTAAAGATTTGATGGGGATGAAAGTGAATATTAAGAGGTAGGCGGCAAATTTTGGATAAGATTGGAATATTTATATTGTAATGACTTTTATGGCCATGATAATAGTTAAGAGGAGTCTTAAGATAGTTATTGTGAATTTTGACGGATGATAGTATCTAAATGCTATCAGATGCGTCTAATGATTAATGCTTTGAAATAAAAATATTTTCAATAAATCTCCAGTCTAATGGGGTTTTGGGGTTTTGGGGTTTTGGGGTTTTGGGG